TCTTTTTTTATATATATATATATATATATATATATATATATATATATATGAGAAAATACTAATTTTAATTTTATGCTTAAATGAGCTTTTGAGAATTAATTAAACTACAAAATCTAACAAGATGAAGATAAAAACGAGTATAAAAAAGCTAGTTTTATTTATTGATTACACAAATACTTTTTTTCATTAATTATAATTTATCAATTATTTATTATCGAACTTGATTAACATATTTTTAATATTTAGTTGGGCTAATTACACTTTTTTGTACTAAATATCAGAGGCCCAACTATTCAAGAGATAATAATTAATAAACAACAAGAAAAGAAGAAATATAAAATACAGTAGAACGTAATCTTTTTCATTCTCAGAGCATCTCCAATGCTTAGTTGCTTAAGTAAATTTCTTAATTTTTTTAATGGACCCCATTATTCCATGTAAGATTTAGGAATTTTTACAAAATATTGCTCCAATGGTAAATTTCTTATTTAAGTTCTTTAACTTAACTATGGAGCCTATAATTAATATATTTTTCCTCTATTCCAATGCAGTCTCTCCTCCATTAATTGTTATCCTACAGTAAAAATATATTTTTTATTCCGTTAAGACACTGCTACTTAATTAAGCAACGTAGCTTACATGTGACAGCCACTTGGCATATTCCAATGTTTAAGAACTCCAATAAGATCTGACACGAGATGCTCTTAGTGGCAAGTGACAATACATGGGCTTTGGCCCAAATAAAGCTCAAAATGGATATGGTTCATATATATACACCTCTTTTTTTTTTAATATGTACATCTCCTTTATTTTTTTTTAAAATTATAAAATATTTGCAGTTTTTTTTTAATTTTTCTAATTTTATACCTCCAACTTTTAATTTGTTACTTTCTTTTTATTTTTCAAACATTTTTTTTTCTTTCAGTTTTTACATGCACTATTTTGTCTTTCTCTATTTTCAGGTAGTTTTAATTCTCTCAATTTTTACATTATTCTCTTCTTCCTTCACCTCTTTCACCTTATCATATGTACCCAGACTGTAGAACTGGTACGCGACAACATTATAGGTATGTGCGACTTTCTCGACAGTTTTTATCGAACTAGACACATATTTTTTCTTCCAACACTTCATCTCATTTCACCCTTCCACAAATCTTAATATTAAATTTAGTGTTATGAAAAAAATGTTTTCACTATTTTAGAGTACTGTGCAGGATAGTGAAATTAATGTTCTAGAAAGATCTTTCTATTGTGTTTTTTTACATACTTTCAGAAATTACTTTCCAGAATAATATATAAAAAAACACAATCAACATTATCGAGAAAGTCATAACACCTATAATATTGTTGAAAATTAGTTCTATGTTTTGCATGTGTGTGAAAACTAAAAGTGAGGAGAAAGAAGATAATAATAAGAAAACGAAAGAAAAGAGAGGGAAAGA